ACCGACCAGAGGCTTTAACAGGGATACGTGGAAGACATTGGAGATACGCATCCCAGGTGGAAGAGCAAGGGCATAGGCAACCGGGTTCACCCTGCGGAGGATGCGGAAAGGACCAACAAAACGGGGAGCCAGTTTCGGTGCGGGCACCTGAAGATTGAGGTTACGAGTGGACAACCACACCCAATCTCAGACCTGGTATGAAGGAGTGGGCAACCGTCTACGATCAGCCTGGAGCTTCTGGCGCTGAGCTGAGTCCTTCAAGGACCTCTGGATCTGCCCCCACGAGGAACGCAGGGCAGCAAGATGGTTATCCACAGCTGGAATGTCCTGTGGCGAGAACAACTCAGGCAATGCAGCGGGTTGGAATCCATAGTTGGCCATGAAGGGAGACATCCCGGAGGAGGAGTTTGACAGCCGAGTTGCTCGCAAACTCTGCCCATGGCAGGAGATTGACCCAATTGTCTTTATGGTCAGAGATATAGCAGCAAAGGAATTGTTCCAGGGCCTGGTTGGAACGCTCCGCAGCCCCATTGGACTACGGGTGGTAGGCCAAAGAGAAGGAGAGCTTGATACCCAACTGGGAGCAGAAGGCACGCCAGAACCTGGACACAAACTGGCTCCCACGGTCCGAGACAATCACCTTACGCAACCCATGCAAGTGAAAGATCTCCCTGGCGAAAACCGTAGCCAGTTCTTGCGCAGTCGGCAATTTTTTGAACGGAACACAATGGCACATCTTGTAGAAACAATCAATGACCAGAAGAATGACCGTATGGCTTCGAGACGCAGGGAGGTCTACAATAAAATCCATGCCCGGGTGTGACCAGGGACGCTCCCCATTGGTAATGGGTTGCAGGGGCCTGCCATTTATCGCCTCGAAGACCAATGGAGTAACTCAAGCCTGCAGAGGAATGGAGTACTGGGCAGCAAACGAACTGTCCATAAACAACCCGTCAGCACCAGAGTCTACCAATGCCTGGGCCGTCACCGAGCCTTTCACCCAAGAGAGGACAATGGTGATTAGCGGTTTATCTTTGCGGGAAACCGGGGACGAGGAAACTCCACCCAAGATCTGCCCCCGACAGGATCTCAGGTGCGAGCGTTTCCCGGATGGACTGGACAGGACTGCTGAAAATGCCCACCGAGACCACAGTACAGGCAGCGACCCTCCGGACGCCGAGAAGCCCGCTCCCCCTCGGAAAGGCGAGAGCAAACCCCTTTGGTATATTAGGGTTGAGCGCAGTAGGTTTCCCCTTTACATATAGCTATCTTGGATTTTAAAGATGCCAGATGTTCACCTTGTCTCTGTGAGACAATAACTGACCTTGCTTATTCCATGAGAAGTTTTCAAATCTGAACGTATCTGTTGAGGGCTTTTAGGTTTAAATTAGGATAAAATACCACCAATGGGGTTTGGGGGTATTAAATCCTTTGGACCTGTCTTGTGGGAGTATTGGAACAAATACTCCCCGGGACAAGAGATGGTTCAGTAAATTCTGCAAATCTTACTGTCCCTTGGCAGATTTTGGTTGATTTGAAAGAAAAAAAGGGCTTTCAGGAATATTTGCTGGGCTTTGTGGTCCAAGGCTTACATCAAAAGGAAGTTGAAGCCTGGGTAGAGCGACTGAGTTTTGAAAGGGTAGAAGCTCTTGATAAGGGACCTTTTTGAATCTCCCACTGTGGAAATAGCACCTTAATCTGTGATCTCTTCAATGAATTTGTCAATTGCCTCACCAGAAAGATGGGTTTAAAATCTCCAATCTGCAAAATCTTTGAATGAAGGAACATATTCAGTTGGTACAGTGAGATGTTTAAGACTAAAACGGCAGGATCGTTAATGAACTCTTTTTCCACTTGATAGAGTTTGGCAAAGATTTTCTGAATAAATTTTTTTCTGGTTTGACCCTGTCGCTACATATTGACTATTTAATTGTTCATTAATGGTGAAAGTCTTCATAGATTTTGCAGGTCTCTTCTAAGTAAAAGGACATTGAGATTGAGGAAAATCAAGTTTGACAACGCTGAGACTTTTTCACACACACATGGGTTGCAACTTCAGATGTATAGGAGTCTGGGGGGATGAGAAATCTTATGCAGCCTCCTATAACACTGCCTTTGGGTCCTTTTCACTTTCACCTCTTCTAGGCCAGGGATATCAGGATCCGCCTCAGGTACAGGAGGAGGAGCTGGGAAAGGTGCTTGGTGTGTTTGTAGACCTAGACAGAGATAGCTTTATTAAAGTCATTCATTGTCCATGAAATTGTGACATAGTTGCAGAAAACTCCCTTTGTCAGGTAGGCCACCTGTTGCATGCCTGAGACAACTGGAATCGGATGCAAAGACTATTAAAGTGGTTGCAAACTCTGGTTTTTAACTTGTACCTACAGGTAAGTCTATAATAAGGCTTACCTGTAGGTACGGTGCACGTTTAGGAGATATTTACCTGTGCAGAGTACCGGTGCATGCATTCTGAATAAATGGCATTATCATGCTGTTCCTTTAGAGGTGATTGCTGCAAAAAGTGGTGCACGCGCAGCAGTACCGTCATCGCAGCTCGGCCATTCAAGCCGTCAGAGCCCCTGAACCCAGGAGAAGGAGCAGGTGAAGATGGAAGCCCTGTCAAAGGTGACAGTACGCTGCTGGAGGGCTTTGTTTAAAGGTAAGTTTCACATAATGTACTAGTATGCAATGCCTACTAGCACAATATGACATTGCCTTGCAGGGGAAAACTTTTTTTTTTTTTTGGATAGTTTACTACCGCTTTAAAATCGGGTCCTGCTCTGATGGAAGGGAAGCATTGTCACTCTGAGGCTGCAAGTTTTGTGGGCCTTCAGCAGAGTGAATATTCACCTGGTGTCAAGCACATGTAGTAGCGAGTCCTTGTAGATTGCCAACTTGGGGTTCACCAGTGCACGGAGTCTAAGCCCCAGCCTGCTTCTTCACCAGAGCCCCTGATGGTGGGGATGGACTTGCAGCAAGCTGGAATCAGGTCACGGCCCCCCAAGTACACCAGCTGAGGATGCAGACACCCCAGTAAATCCGATAAACAAGCCGAGGTCAGGACGTGCAGAAAACAAGCCGGGGTCGGTACACATGTAGTCAGGTGCAGGCTACAGGAGTTTGGAACAAACAGGAGCTCAGAGAACTAGGAAGTTGCTCAAGCAAAGTGGGCTAGACTGAGCGTGTCTTATATAGACAAGCAAACTTGGAGGTGGGCCAGGAAGTGATGGAAGGAAATAAAACCCAAAGAATAGCAGGCGACGCCCATAGGTGAGCACAGACAAACTACACATGTGAAAGGAATCAGGAACAGCACCGCAGCAAGGAGGTAAGAATACACAACCAAGAAACTGCAGGTTAACTAGTGACACCTAGGCTTTTCCTTGGCTCCCTTTCACCTGGTTTCTGCCATAGACATGGGTGAGAGTACTTTCCTGTGGGGTACTCATAGAGTGGGGTACAGAATATAAGGTAACTGTGTCCAGAAGAAATATGCAGAAACTTAGGTGCAGACCTTCCAGTAGCAAAGTTCTTGCGATAAAAGGTGGGGAGGGAGTGTCTGAGTACCTTATAAAGATTTCAGAAGGAAGTGGCAATAAAGTGTGCAACCAGTAGTGTGATAAAACACCTGGTCATCTACCCGAGAGCTCTGAGTGGTTCAGTTTCACAGTCAAGTTTGAAAATTTTACACTATCAAAGTAAATATGTTCCAAACACAGCGTTGATTATTACAGTAACAGTGGGAGATACAGGGTGATCCTGTCTTACCTGTCCATAATGCTGGACCATAAATAGAGTTCTGGCTTTGCTTGTCGCAGGGGGCATACCACCGAAGGTTTCTTCAGGATCTGGGTTCCACTGGAACGGACAGCATCCCTGGACCTGTATTGAACACTGAGGCTGACTAGAAGTGTTGCACAAAGTGCCGAGGTGAGAGTCCGTGCAGGATCTAATCCCAGCAGCAACATTACAGGCTGTCCCTGCAGAGGACAGTCCAGACACAGCTGCCAAGGTTTTACTGAGGTTGCAGTAATCCAGATGCATTGCTTTTGTTGTGATATTAGAAGACAGGGAAGAGCTAAATGAACAGCCTTAAGATAAAATAATAAACTAGTTAAGATAAGAGTGATTTCTCAGTAAGGGAGAAGGGATTAATCACTTTAGGACACTAGCAAAAACTGAGGACTCAAAGAAGGGGGTAGAGTTTTCGGGGAAGCACCAAGGGACGTGTCCTCAACTGCTATACCAGTGTCCAATCACCTGCAGGTACCAGCATATAACCCAAGAATCTATGAATACTCAGCCTGTGTTATGTACGATACGAGTAAGATATATCACATACACACACACACACACACACACACACACAGACAAAAGGATTTATATTTCAGTCCATCAGTCTAGAAATTTACACAGCCCAAATACACAGCCCAGCAAGCCTCATGATTTGACTTCTGAATTAGGCAGCACAGTCAGGTCACCTCCCTGAACCCAGCCTGTGACTGGAAAGTAAAGGAGCAGCAGTAAACTGTTAAAATCGTCAGCAAAACAGTCATAAAACCTCTTGCACTTTGTTGTTGATGAAATCATCTCTCTGATCTCCTATTGGCATGTTTCTTCATAATTGTATGTAGGTCACCAGACTGGCCCCAAATGCTGCCATTTCCTCTCCCTATTGGGATGCTGCTAGACAGGGATACACAGGCTAAAATCAAGTCCAATTTAGGCATTTCTAGTAATTCCATTTAAAATGTATTAAAATTTCTATTACTAAATGCATAAATACTTCAACTGATGTTTTTCTAAAATCTGCCTGGAGTTTAGCTTAGTTATCCCAGATATTGAAGTATATAGAATACAGATATAGAACTGACCACACAATCTTATTATTATGATTCATTTAGTTAGATAATACCAGGCTGTCTAAATTCCATGGTTTAAATCTAAAACTGAACTAATGGAATAAGAAAAGATGAGAGTATAAAAACACATTTACTTACCTACACTGCTTAAACTGAACTCCATAGTTGCAGCACTACTTATATTAGATCCAACTAAAGCTTTAACTCGAAATTTATAATAGACTACAGGATCTAAATTTATCTCATGAAGGCCACAGTAGCGATGTGAAATATTCTGGCAAGTCTCAATAACCTTCCACTTCCATTCTCTGAAAAATAATTTCAAAATAAAACAGAAAATTAAAAAGCAGTAATGGTTATCGTAATTATCATTTCTTTCTGAATCCATATTTTCTAAAGTGCCCCACTTATACACAGTACTAAAAATAACAAGGTCTAGCAAAGAGGTAAAGTAAAAGTCACTTTTTTGGATTTGTTTAGTTATCATTAGCTATTATTTAAAAGAGAAGGAAGAACCATCAGACCCATGTCACCTAAAATCATGAAGATCTGGGTGTATGGCAGTAGAGACAAATGCTTTTGCCACTATGGCCCAAAAGAGAGCATAAACACAAGTTACATATAGTTTTACCTTTCAGTAAGGATCGTATGACTAAGGGACTAGGCCTTTAGACATATGATCAGCACGGAATGGCACATTTAGCAGCAGGTAACTACTGCAGTAGTTGCAATCAACTGGAAAAATTCAACCAAGCCAACCAAAGTTTAAGCCAAAGTTGGTCACCCAGTGATGTCTGCTCATTTTTATGGGTGAAATTATAATAGGTCTCCTAGGGTCTTTGGACATCTTTATTGTTCAGTTAAAACACCATTTTATAATGGATAGTTAAAATGGTTGTAAAGCCTAAACAGTGTTACCCTAATGCATTCTGTGCATTATGGTAAAAAAAACAGTAAAGCAGTTCACATATAGTTGGGTTGGCGCAGCGCTCTCAACAAAAACATGTACTAAACTGAAATATACAAAAAAATTCTTAAACTTGCTTCAGGTGGTCACCAGTTATTACTTTGTTAAATTGTGAACTATCTGGTGTTACCAGCTATCACCTTTTAAAACTCAAATTCCAACATTATATATGTATCCACCTCTCCCTTTAACAAACCACTTACCAGATCTTTATGACCTGTTATATAAACAGGTCCAAAGTGCTTTAACACCCTTTATTTCCTCCATTTTGGCTCCATATGGCACATTCTCCAGCTCTGCCTTCAGATATATACTAAGGAATTATCAGGACAGAGACCGCAATAGTGTAGTACTTTTTATTTTACCACACACTAAAATGATCCTGAAGACGTCACACGGACAAAATTAGCTGGGCAGAGCCACACTGACATCACATATGGTTGTGTCATTTCCGGCTGCTGAATCACACAGCATTTTTCCTGGGACCTGGAGGTGCGATTGATTCTCAATGCTACTCGAATTTGACAGCCTGTAAGTGCATTTTAATCTGGAGAAGATGTCATATGGCGCCAAACTGGAGGAAATAAAGGGTGTTAATAAAGCGCTGTGGACCTGCTCAAAAAAATTAAAGGAACACTTTTTAATCAGAGTATAGCATCAAGTCAATTAAACTCCTGAGATATTGATCTGTACAGTTAATTAGCAGAGGGGGTTGTTAATCAGTTTCTTTGGTGCTAACAAAATAAACAACAGGTGCACTAAATGGGCAACAATGAGATGACCCCCAAAACAAGAATGGTTTTACAGGTGGAGGCCACTGACATTTTTTTCCCTACTCATCTTTTCTGATTGTTTTTCACTAGTTTTGCATTGGGCTAGGGTCAGTGTCACTACTGGTAGCATGAAGACATACCTGGACCCTAAAAAGGTTGCACAGGCAGTCCAAATCCTCTAGGATAGCACATCAATACATGCCATTGCCAGATGGATTGCTGTGTCTCCCAGCACGGTCTCAAGAGCATGGAGGAGATTCCGGGAGACAGGCAGTTACTCTAGGAGAGCTGGACAAGGTCCTTAACCCATCAGCAAGACCGGTATCTGCTCCTTTGTCCAAGGAGGAACAGGATGAGCACTGCCAGAGCCCTACAAAATGACCTCCAGCAGGCCACTGGTGTGAATGTCTCTGACGAAACAATCAGAAATAGATTTCATGAGGGTGGTCTGAGGGCCCTACATCCTCTAGTGGGCCCTGTGCTCACTGCCTGGCACCACAGTGCTCGATTGGCATTTGCCATTGAACAGCAGAATTGGCAGGTCCACCACTGGTGCCCTGTGCTTTTCACATATGAGAGCAGGTTCATCCTGAGCACATGTGATAGATGTGAAAATGTTTGGAGAAGCCGTGGAGAATGTTATGTTGCCTGTAATATCGTTCAGCATGACCGTTTTAGTAGTGAGTTAGTAATGATCTGGAGAGGCATTTCCATAGAGTTACGCACAGACCTCTACAGGTTAGACAATGGCATCCTGACTGCCATTAGGTATCAGGATGCAATCCTTGGACCCATTGTCAGACCCTACACTGGTGCAGTGGGTTCCTCCTGGTCCACGACAATGCCTGGCCTCACGTTGCGAGAGTATGCAGGCAGTTCCTGGAGAATGAAGGAATTGATACCATTGAATGGCCCCCATGTTCGCCTGAACTAAATCTAACAGAACACCTCTGGGATATCATGTTTCAGTCCATCTGACAATGCCAGGTTGCACCTCAGACTGTCCAGGAGCTCAGTGATGCCCTGGTCCAGATCTGGGAGGAAAAAACCCCAGGACACCATCTGTCGTCTCATTAGGAGCATGCCCCCAATGTTGTTGTATGGCCCCCACGTGCATACAAGCACATGGGGGCCATACAAACTACTGAGTACCATTTTGAGTTGCTGCAATGACATTTCAGCAAAATGGACTAACCTGCTGCATAATTTTTTCACTTTGATTTTCGGGGTGTCTTTGAATTCAGTCCTCTGTAGGTTGATAATTTTTATTTCCATCAAACAATGGGGTATCCTTACATTTCTAACACATTACACAGTCTATTTCAGTATACATATCCAGCATGATATGTTTCCCCTTTGAGATATGATATGTTTTCAAAGTGTTCCTTTAACTTTTTTGAGCAGCGTATAACAGGTCATAAGGATCTGGTGAGTGGCTTTTCTCTAAAGGGAGAGGTGGAGAGCACTTTTTGGCACGATGGAAAAACACTATTAATGGAAGCACTTCATTTGGATTGGTTATATATTGGACATTGAGAAGTTTTACACAGCACTAGCACTTTACAATACAGGACTGGTTGAAGAGGATTTATAGTTGATGTATAAACACTGCACCCATTTATATGTATATTGTAATTTAAAGCTAATCTAAATTGATGGTTAATGTTGGAATTTTAGCTTTACAAGGTAATAGCTGGTAACAGTATATCACTAATTTGACATGCAGCCTGTATTCATGGCTGGAGCTGGCGGCTTTACTTGTCTATGTGAATACCTCCTTAGTGTCGGGCATGACACATGGCAATGTGAGTGCATCTATGATGGTTTTTATTAATAAATAATAGATTGTTTTACGCTATGAAGTCTTCCTTTTTTTTTGACATGTTGGCAAATGGTCTGGAACTGTGAGAACCTTGCATTGATGAAGAGAGTGGATCTATTAACGCATCGTTGGCTGTTGCATAGTGCCCCAACAGGATTGGAAGTGGATTGCACTGTATATGATATCTTTTAAAAGAACAAATTTTTACTTCGTATTTTAAGTCGTGTTGAGGTGAGCCATTTACTTGAAAAGGGGAAGGACACTGGGTGCTTTGACATCACACCTTTATGCAAAGAAAAAAATTTATTTCACTATATTTTTATTTTCTGTACATATTTCACTTGATGGTGGACATTAACCGACCGCCCTATAGCAGAAACACTGATACAGGGTGGCACGGGTGCGCAAAATCACATGTTGCATTTCCGGGTGATTTTGCATCTCCGTCATTTGCGGCCGCGTCTGTCCTGGCCGATGATTACCAAGCATCTCCGACGGGGAGAACTGTCTGGTTTGTCAGCTCGTGCACACTGTTTTGGATGGCTGTGTACAGCACCGCAATGCAAAGCAGTGTGCTTACAGTGAAGTACACAGACACAAGTGAAACAGCACACAGTTAACCCTTTGATCGCCCCTCATGTTTACCCCTTGCTGCCCAGTGCCATTAGTACAGTGTCAGTGCTTTTTTTTAGCACTGATCACTGTATTGGTGTCAGGGGGGGGGGGGGGGGGGGGGGGGGGGGGGGGGGGGGGTTTTTTTTTCTGGGGATGTCAGTGACACCAAGTCAGTTCTCCCCAGTGTCAGAATGCCCGTCGTAGTCCCGCAATAAATCACGGATCACCGCCATTACTAGTAAAAATAAAAAAATAAATCCCAGTATATATATCATTTGTAAATGCTATAACTTTCACGTAAACCAATTAATTTACATGTATTGGGACTTTTGTTAGCAAAGACATGTAGCAGAATACATTTTGGCCTAAATTTATGACGAAATTTGATTTCTTAAATTTGTTTACTGGGTATGTTTAATAACAAGTCAAAAATATAGTTTTTTTTTTCTCTCAAAATTGTTGGGTTTTTTTATAGCACAAAAAATAAAAACACATAGGCGATCAAATACCACCAAAAGAAAGTCATATGAAAAAAAGGACGTAAATTTAATTTGGGTGCAGCGTTGCATGACCGTGCGATTGTCAGCTCAAGTAACGCAGCATCGTAACACAAAAAATGGCCTGGTCAGGAAGGGGGGTAACTCCTGAGGAGGGCAAGTGGTTAAGGACTTTGTTTTTGTTAATTTGCATTTAGGGATAATTATTATAAACACATTGTTTGTGAACTGAGCTGCACAATATTTTGAAAGTGAATATTTTGTTACATGTTGATACATTTTACTCAGTATTATGTTAATACTTTTTCTTGTTTTAGATAGTTTAACACTTGATATTTTGGGAGCAGTCATACACCTATTTGTATGCAAACAGTACCAACAGCAGATAATGAATTGTATACAAATAGCACCAGCAAGGTTTCCACTATATTTTTTAGGTTTTGTTTCACACTTTGCACTAAAGTTAAACTTGCTTCATGTGGTTACCAGCTATTACTTTGTAAATTGTGAACTATTAAGAATTTTTTTTAAATTCAGTATATTTGTTTAGTATATGTTTTTGTTGAGAGCACTGCACCAACCCAACTATATTTGAACTGCTTTAATTTTTTCCATTTGGAAATAGGAGGTGTACAGAAGCTTACAACACTCACAACACATTTTACACATTATTGCCAGAGGCTCATTGTTTTATATTTAAGGTAAAAAATGTTTAGGCTAAAGTATCACCCCCCCACACTTACCCAAGCCCTCACTTGAACCAGCACAGTGCCCAGTGGCTCTCCTCTTCTCCACTCTCAAAGGCTTGGCTGAGAGCAGCAGTAGCCATTGGTTCCCAATGCTATCAGTCGAATCCTGTGACGAAAGAGTAGGGGGCGGGGCCGATCGAGCATGCAGGTGTGCCACCATAGAAAACTGCTGCCTATGGTAGCACACCAAGAACAGGAAGAGACTTTAAAATCACTTCAACAATACTTACAATTCTTCTAATCTTTCCACACAGAAATAAGGTTTAAGTTCCATTCTACTGTAGTTCCAGTGCAAAGTTGTGTTAAGATTATATGAATAAACCATCAAGTTGAAAGGTTCTGGAACTGTAAAGAGAAAAAAAAGAAACATAACAAATTCATATTAGTATGTCTGTGTTTACATTTAAAGCATCATTCTTTATATGGTTTTGGAAGTGTTTAAAATAAGTAAGTGTTTGAAACAAGTTACATGTTCCACCTGTTTTAAGGGTGGAATGTGTAACATGTTCCCATAGCCGCAGCGGCGCCCGCAGCCCCCCCTCCGTCTGACACATAGTTCGAGGAGAAGTCTGCCCGTACTATCTGTCAAATTTGAAAACAGCATGGCCATGCGGGGCTCTGCCCACTCAGCCGCATCATTCATTCACGGACTTCCATGAATGAATGAACTGCAAGTCCTGACAACCTTAGCGGCTGTTGGCTTGTAGTTTGCAATGCCGTGGTAGATCATTGAAGCTTCCTGTCAGAATATCTCCTTGACCATATATCCCGTACGGCAAGCAGATATTTTGACAGGTCTGCAGGAGACCTGTGTGGTATCAGCGAGCTACTGATCACGGGTGAAATGTTTTCTAGGCTCCTGTAGACAAAAATAATAAATGCACATTTTGTTACCTGCAAAAATGTGCATTTATTATTTTTGTCAAAAAGGTGAACTTATCCTTTAACTGGTTTCCTGTAAGATACAGTAACAAGATAGCAAACATCAGACAATAATGTGTTCTCTTGTATCCATACAGAATTCATATGACTACTGAAATAGATTCAAATTGTTTGTCAAACTAGAAGAAATGTTATAAATAGCCTCATGCTAAATAATTATTTGTGATTGCAGATGTCTGTCCTTATCTTTTGAATTGTGCACAGCACACTACATTTGTGTAAAAAATTAAACTGCTACTCCCCACTAGGTCTCACACATACAGGGAATCACCTCACCTGCAAAACTCAATACCTCACATGCAAAAAGAATGTAAGTGCTAAAATAAATCCAGAACTAGTACTTTTGCCATGCAGATCTAGCAATGCTTATTAACCGCTCTACCGCCACCCTATAGCAGATATACTGCTACAGGGTGGCAGGGGTACGCAAAATCCCGTATATATACGTGATTTTGCATTTCCGGTTAGGGGGCGTGCATAGCAGAGCCATACAAAGCAGTGTGCTTACAGTTGAAAGCGCACACACACAACTTACAGTAAAACAGCACACAGTTAACCCATTGATTGCCCCACATGTTAACCCCTTCCTGCCCAGTGCCAATAGTACAATAGCAGTGCTTTTCATCAGCACTGATCACTGTATTGATGTCACTGGGATGTCAGTGACACCAAGTCAGTTCCCCCTATTGTCAGAATGCCCACTGCAGTCCCGCAATAAGTCACTGGTCGCCGCCATTACTAGTGAAAAAAAAAATTACAGTATATATACCTCCATTTGTAAACGCTATAACTTTCCCGTAAACCAATTAATTTACACATATTTGGATTTTTTTTTTAGCAAAGACATGTAGCAGAATATATTTTGACCAAAATTTATGACGAAATTAGATATTTACATTTCTTTATTGAACATGTTTAACAGCAAAAAGTCAAAAATATTGTTGTTTTTTTTACTTAAAATTGTTGGTCTTTTTTTTTTTCATAGCGCATGTTACGGAGATAAGAAATATTTTATTTTTGTGTTTTGTTGAAATCCATAAGTATGTCAGCAGTCAGCTTGTCTGCTTAAATTTTGGAGTTCCTCTGCCCCGCAGGGGGTGGGAGATGAGGTTGATCTCAGCAGGGAGCGCAGACAGCATGTTGTCCTGTGGCTGTGAAAAGCCAGACATGTCGGAACTGGGGGATAGCTGCTTGCTGTCCCTATGGGGGGGAAGAATGGGCAGAGCTTGAGTCAAGATGGACAGAGCAGCTCACGGCTGCAGGCCTTGCTAGATGCATTGAACTAGGCTTTTTGCACTGCTGGGACATGTGGTTCTACACTGCCTGTGTGGTCTTGAAGCTGCGGCCAGGACACACAGCCCTCCAAAGATCCGTGCGGACCTGGTGCCTACTTGCCTAGACGTTCTCTGCTGAGGCCACTGCTGGCTAGGGAGTCCCTGAATTGCTACCTTGTGCCAAGGACTTAACCCTCTCTACTCTCGTCTCCCTGTTGTGTCCACCTGTACCCACCTGTACTTAACCCATTGCCTTGCCAGAGCCTACCTTCCAGTCGTGTGCTCACCTGGACTTAACCCACTGCCTGCCAGAGCCTGCCTTCCTGTTGTGTGCTCACCTGGACTTAACCCATTGCCTGCCAGAGCCTGCCTCCCTGTTGTGTGCCCACCTGGACTTAACCCGTTGCCTGCCAGTCTGCCACCCCGCTGTGTCCCACTCAGACTTAACCCATTGTCTGCCAGTCTGCCACCCTGTTGTGTGCTACTCGGACTTAGCCTATTGCCTGCCAGAGTCTGCCTCCCTGTTGTGGGCCCAGACGGTGCTACGGACTAATTCCCCTTTGTTGCCTACCAGAACTTGGTGATCCTTGTTGTGTGTCCCACCCTGTGGTACGAACGCAACTTTTGTTTTGCCAGAACCTTGCTATACTCATCGTATGCCCTCCAAATCACTCAATAAAAGCCTTGTGTGCCCCACTGCTCTCCGCGTGTGTTGTGTCCCACCTACACCTCCGTCACAGCGCAAAAAATAAAACTGCACAGGTGATCAAATACCACCAAAAAAAGCTCTATTTGTGGGAAAAAAAGGACGTAAATTCAATTTGGGTGAAGCGTTGCATGACCACGCAATTGTCAGTTAAAGTGACGCACTGCCGCAAGGCAAAAAAATGGCCTGGTCTAGAAGGCGGGGGGGGGGGGGGGGGGGGTAAATCCTCTTAAGGGCAAGTGGTTATTAATTCATTATTATTATTACTAATAATAATAATATAAGCATTAGGCCTCTTTCACATAGGAGTACTTAAACATACACTTGTGCGAGGGTCATGTTTGTTTGCGCAGGAGTCCTGTACATCCAACTGTGGAGAATCCCATTCATGTCAATTGGAATGGAGTGGCTGCACAGACACAGCCACTTGCAATTTGACAGCCGTATGGATGTGGATGCGAGTCCCCGAATGCAGATAGTTTGCATTTAGTACCATACACCTGTGTGTATGTTGAATTGGGAGCAGCCGCTGTGTCTGTGGAGCCACTGTGTCCCAACTGCCATGCATGCGACTGACTAAATGGGACACCTGTGAATCCCCATACGGGCAAACACAACCCTCGCACAGGTGTACTCTTAAGTATACCTGTGTGAATGAGACCTTGTTGTAAATTATCTGAGAGCTCAGACTAATCTGTCTTGTGTGCATACACCAGGTATGCTTGTCCCAAGTACTGTTACCAAAATTGCAAGTTGTGTTTCTGTGTGGGAATGCTCTAAGTGCTCCATCCCTGTGTTCCAAGGTGATGCATGCTTTGTTTCTGTGATCTCTGACTACATTTGCTGAGTAAGTGTGCCCTGTCTGTGCTCACATTGTGCAAGCTGTGTGTGCTCTAACTGTGCATGTTTTGCAAGTGCTCTGGGTGTGCAATCGCTCAAAAAAGTATGTACTCCCATGGGAGCACAGAATGATTATGAAAAGGAAGGGCAGCAGCAGCAGCAGCAGCACAGGAGACTGAAACACTACAAAGAGAATAGGGGATGCAGGGGAAAGGGAGGGGGGTGCAAAACTGGGTACCTAACCAGAGAGGAATGAGGAGCAAGAGCACTGAAGGTGTTAAGATGATTATGTAACCCTTCAGTACAGGTGATAAGGCACAGAATGTGTTCTATAAAGGTAAGCAAGGAGGGGGACTTGCACACTGAGGAGAATACAAAAAAAGAAGGAATATGTTTGGAATGATGCCAATCCACAGATGCTCCAGATTCTGCCTGCTCCAGTTTTGTTAATGCCCCCCCCCCCCCCATCCCAGTGTATATTTTTCTTTTTCAAGTACAGGGGATAGTTTACAGAGTGATCACTGGGATAGGCAATCACAAACTATCACAGCCAGGCAGTACCGAATTTATAAGGGGCAACTTCCCTGGTCCCCCCGGGCAAAGGGGCCTCCCCCTATACCAGCCTTTCAACCAGGGTGCCTTCAGGTTTCATCAGGGGTGCCTTGGCAAAATACCTAAAAATTGCCTAAAAATTTTTATACAGACCAGCAAGGGTTTTTATTGTGCACCATTACAACCTTTCAGCTGCCTGGGTACTAACAACCAATGGCATCATCGGTTGATAAGGAGAGTGTCAGGCCCCTGCACAGCATCCTTGTTTGTCCCTCCCTTGCCAATCTCAATTAGCACTAGGTTTAAATTTGCTGAGTGAGAAGACAAAATGAGGAAGTAGAGAAACATTGGAATAGTAGTCAGTGCCATCGTGCAAAAGTGTATTCTCTGTAAAAATAAAACACCTCTTAATTTGGGTGTCCTATGTGTGTGGATGTTGCTGCATTATGTAAAACTATTAGTTTAGTTTTTTACATTTTAGAATGGGGTGCCTTGAGATTGTGCAAAATTTTTAAGTGTGCCTTGCCTATAAAAAAGGTTTATAAACACTTCTCTATACAAAAAAATATATGAAATATTAAAAAAAAAAGATAAAAATAGAAAATAAAAATGATGTAAAATTTATAATAAAGACAAAAATTACTTCTTTTATTAAACGTTTCTTGGTGAGGAATATTTTACTGGCCATCATTTGTAAAAGTTTTTACCCTGGACTGGCATATTGTAGTTTTTAAAAAGTAATTTTAGTGGCTCAAGCGCACCACACAAAAAGCACTATGACTGCGTGTCCTCAGAATGACGTTGTTTTTTGCATTTTAAAAATGTGTGACTGTCGTTGAGAACGTAAACTAACTATGTATACGGAGAACCCTGAACCTGAAGTTCCCCCGCCCCCCATGTCTAAATTTGGCTCTACCTTCGGGCTCCCGATCATTAGAACTGGTTGTAGATCAGTGATCTGCCTGCCCAAAGAGAGTCAATTACACCTGTTTGCAGAGGAAAGGATGCCTGATTGAATTTCCTGAGAAGCCCGTC